TCATTCAAGAAAGCACACCTCTGATTAGAAATGCTTGGGATCTCTCTTGTCTTGGGGACATCAGGAGAAGAGCCACAAACCTTTGCAAAAAATTGCTCCCCCATTCAACTTTAAAGCTCTCCTCAGCCCTGATTTTCTGGCTGATTTGTTTAAAAAAAAAAAACCAACCCTGTTTTCCCCAGGATACTTGCAGCTTAGAATACATCTGTTTTAGCAGTTTCCTTGATCTGCTTTTAAAAGAAATCCAAACACTTTCATATTAGCCCATACCCTGCCCCTTCCCTGGTTACCCCTTATCTTTTCTTCCTTCAGAAAATATGTACCAGTTACCTACTATGGGCCAAGCACTGAATGCTTGCCCTATTTTCACAATTTTTCACGTGGACATCGTAACAATACCAAGCTTCTGAAATGCTTTTAAAAAGACAAGTGAAAAAAGACGCTAAAAGGAAATCCAGATGTTCATTAAATATTCTTGTAAAACCAATTTGTAAAAGAGCATAAATCAGGAATATGACTCTTTCGGTGGCAAATGTTTTATAAAAATAAATGTTCAGTTGTCAGTAGTTAACAACCCAATGCTCTGACAACCAGCCCCATTCTGCTCTAACCAGGCCGTGCTTTCCCCTCCCCTGGACTCTCCTCCATAGTTTTGCATGAATTTACTTATAGCAATAGTAGTTGTAAGAGAGCTGGAAGTACACGTAGAAGATTATATCATTCACATATATGCCCATTTTATAGATGAAGAAACTGAGCCACTCCCCCCCCCAAAAAAAGGAAGTGGCTTGCCCAAGGTCAAACAGTTAACTAGTGCAAGGGCCAGAACTAGAACCCAGATCTGCTGCCTCTTAATCCAGAGCTATTCCCTTTTGAAGGGATCATGGTCTGTGGGCTTCTTTGGTATCCAAGGAAGGCTTCCAGCACAGTGGGTGGCCCTCCTGTGGTAAATTTATGGAAAACATGGAGGAGAGTTTCACAGATATGGGTGAGTGTGAGCTGCACTGTCCTTGTCAAGTAATGATGCTAACAGTTCTCTTAAGTAAAAATGCTAATAGTTCTTATGCATGGAGCCTTCGAAAGCTTACAAAGTGCTTTACATGCAGTCTCTCATTTGAGGAGCCCATTAGCTCAGTCAGGTGGGTGCTCTTATTATCTTCAATTTGATAAATGGGCAACCCAAGGCTCAGACAGGTTAGGTGATGTACCCATGGTCACACAGCCAGTAAGTGTCAGAGGTAGGATTGGAAGCCGGACTTCCTGATGCCCCATCTAGCTCCCTCAACTATCCTCAGGCTTCCTCTTCTTTCTCCTATGAAACTCAGCATATCTGCCCTAGTATTTTATATTGAATATTTGTTGTTCAGTCATTTTTTAGTTGTGTCTGACCTTTCGTGATCCCATTTGGGGTTTTCTTGGCAAAGATACTGAAGTACTTTGCCATTTTCTTCTCCAGCTTATTATACAGATGAGGAAACTGAGGTAAACAGGGTCACACAGTAAGGAAGTGTCTGAGGTAGGATTTGAACTCGGGAAGATGAGTCTTCCTGACTCCAGGTCGGGAATCTATCCACTGTGTCACCTAGCTGCCTCTTTATATTGAGTATTCAACCTAATGAAGAAGGAAATGGCAAACCACTCCAGAATCTTTGTCAAGAAAACTCCAAATGGGGTCATGAAGCATCGGACACAACTAGAAACGACTGGCTAAAACACCATTCACATTACCCCTCTATGGTAAAAGTTACTAACTGACCCCTTATTAGAGCATGCCCTTCACCTCCTCTCTTCTGAAGTAGTCCTACAGGCTTTGGGAATCATTACATTTCCAAGCTCTTGTTCAAAGTGCTGTGATTCATTAGCATGTTTCTTATGAACCAGTCCAATTTCTAGTGACATAGATAACAGAGGAAAGAGAGGATTTCTGACAGCAGAAATCCTTTCCGCGTGATTAGACGCACATAGGAGGAGCCGCTTCATGCAGGAAGCATTGAAGGGGGTTCATTTTGATGGGTACCACAGTGAATGTGGGATTACCTCTCCAAATGACTACTAAATAAAAGGAGCTAATCCAGCCAGGTTTTCCTCACCAGTATAATACAACTAGTTTACAGTCAGCCAGTCAATAAACACTTACTAAACATCTACTATGTGCCAGGCACTGTGCTAAGTACTGGAGATGCAAGAAAGGTGATGGCCAGCCCCTGCTCTCAGGAGCTCACAGTCTAATGGGGGACACAGTATGCAACTATGGACGAACAAGGTATGAAGAGAACATGTGAGGAGCACTTTAAGTTTGGCAAAGGCCTTTTCCTTTCATGGTCTCATTTGAACCTCACATTGACCTTGTGAACATAGGCGCTATTATCCCCATTTCACATATGATGAAACTGAGGCTTTGAAAGGTGCATTGACTTGCCCAGGATGTCTGAGGAGAGATTTGAACGCAGCTCTGAGCCCAGGGCTCTGGCCACTATATTACGCCATTTCTGTAGCTCAGGAACATCCGACTCCCAAGAAACTTTTCCTTATCTGCAAAATGAGGCCTTTCAAAGGGCCTTTCTCATTCTAAGGTGCTCTGACCTTATTGGAAACAGGCTTCCAGAATGAGAAGGCAGCCCAGCCAGAGGCCCAGGGGGTGCCAGGACACAGAGCGCCTTGGTCACTTTCAGGTAGCCACGGAGGCTAACTCGGCCCCTCTGTGACTTCCACCCACTGTTCCTAGTCCTGCCCTCCCACATGACAGTCACTCAAATACTTAACAAGGGCTTCCTGTTCTCCCCCCCCCCACTCTCCAGTCCAACCTCTGAGGCCAGAGTCAGACCAATTCCTCTTTTCCATGAAGACCCTTAAAATATCTGAAAACAGCAATTGCGCCCCATCCCCTCCCTGCCCAGCTTTCTCTTCTCCAGGCTAAAAGTCCCAGTCCCTTCATCCAATCCTCACGTGACAGACTCAAGACCCTTCATCATTTTTATGACTCTGCTCTGGATGCTTTCCAGCTTAGCCATTTTAAAATGGGGTACCCAAATAGGATCAGACCAGGACAGAGTACAACAGAACTACCATTTCCTAATTCCTCTCAATACAGCTCAACCTTACTTATAGAAGCATACTACTGACTCATATTGGCCTTGTGGTCCACTAGAACCCTAAGATCTTTTTCAGACAAATTGCTGCCTCCCTCACAAATATCACCTACTTCACAGGGTTGTTGTGAAGACTAAATGAGATCACATCCATAAAGCACTTTGCAAATCTTAAAGCACTATATAAATGCTCACTATTGTTATGAAATAAGGCTAGGTAGAGGATCTATGATTTCCTTGTTTTAGAGAACTCTCAGGTACAGAAACTCCCTCTACCTTGGCAGGTTGACACCTTCTCTGCAACTTCTGTAATCTTTAAGAGTTGCCCAGATCCCTGAGAACCTCTAGAGAATTGCTTACAGTCACAGAGCCAGCATTTGTGAGAGGTCAGACATGAGCCCAGGTCTTCCTGTGTCTCCTAGGCCATAGGACCCCTTGTTACCATTATTGTTATCATCTTGTACTTAGAAAATTGATTTTTTGAAATAAGTCTCAGATTTGAATGTATTCCTGTTGAATTTAGGCTTCTTAGAGTTAGCCTGCTCACATCTTTTGGGTTCCTGCATCTGCTATCCAGGGTGGTCCTTCTGCTTCCTGGCCTGGTGTCCCTTGATCTGCCTGCTTTCTCTGCACATTTAAGAGAGATCAAGGGAGGGCAAAAGGGAGAAGGAAAAGCACTGTGCAACAGCAGAAGGAGCACTGAATTCACATGCTTTCAGCCCTTTTTCAACTCCTTAGCTTCCAGGGCTGAATTTTATAAGCATCTCAAAGGAGAGTTTGAAGCAGGGGCCTCAGTCCTCCGAGTAGGTAGCTATATGGTACCACAGTACATAGATCACTAGGCCTGAAGTCAGGAACACCTGAGTTCAAATTCAGCTTCAGACACTAGCTGTGTGACCCTGGGCAAGTCACTTCACCCCAGCCTCAGTTTCCTCAACTATAACCTTCCCAAAGCCTTTTGAGGGCTTCCATCTGGATCTGATGGCAAATCTGAAGTGACTTCCAGAACTTTGGTTACATCTTGGAACCCCTTGGCACAGCAGAAAGAGGCCCGGCTGGATGTTGAGTCTGAGGGCCTGGGTTCAAATCCCAGCTCTGTTACTATTTGTATACGCTGATCAAGTTATCTAATCTCCCTGGGCCTCAGTTTCTCCTCTGTAAAATGAGGGCTTTGGAGTCAATCAGGGATTCTTCCCCTTTGTGTCCCGGCCCTTTCTGGCAGTCTGTGAACCCCTTCTCAGAATCAGGTTTTTAAATGCATAAAACAAAATACTTTGCATTACAAAGGAAATCAGTGACAATGAAATACAGTTCTCCAAATATTTTTTAAAACTAAGTTCCTGGCTCTAGGAAAAGAACCCTGGGACTAGATGATCTCTAAGATCTCTTCAAGTTCTAGAACAAAAATGGAACATAAACACCAAAGGCAAGTTTTTGCATTTTTGAAAAGGTGCTCCAGGCATATTTGTGTTAAAGAGGTTTTTTATTTGGGAGAAAAACTTACATAATAACCTCAATTATATAAAGGAGAACAAAAGAACGTTGATCAATGTAATCATGAGAATGGAAGCTCCCTGAGGACAGGGACCTGTTCCCTTGACACAAGCCAGGTCCTTAATGAACGTTTGGTGAATTAACCATTGCAATGACCAATCTTATCTTCTGAGGCCTAACAAAGAAGATGCCTCCCACCCCTCCCAAAAGAGGAATATATTGTCAGGCAGGGCCCATGGGTTGGTTTGTTTTGCTTAATGGTACTTCTTAATTACAAGGGAGGGTTCAGGGGGAGCAAAGGAGGAAAGAGAGACAAGAGTGTCCTTTTATTCTCTTCCCTTCCTCCACCAAGGGTTTTGTTCTTCAGACTTAAATCACAGTTTCGAGAGATTCATTTTCTATATTTGCCTCAGTTACCTTTGGTGGCATCCATGCCTCCCACTGCATACAGGGCCCCCACTGTAGATTTTCGCGGCTTGGTCCGAGGACTTTGCATCATGGACCTTCTCTCTGGCAAGAGATGATACTTCATAGCTTCCATCAGGAGCTTTTGACATTCCAGGTCGTGCACGAACATGGTACTATTCTCGAGATCAGCCAGTAACTGAAAAACATTAATGTTTGATATGATACCTTCTTTAAAATCCTCCTCAGATGTCCCCTTGGGCATCTCACAGAATTTACCAATGGAGCACAAGCTCTGGCAGGTCCTACTAAGGTGAAAGGACTTTAGGATATGGGCCTGGTTGTGGCCTGTCATCCAAAGACCTGCCTATACTTTGATTACAAGCAACTCATGGAGACTGTCTACTATGGAAGTAGGAAGGGTTGAAATCTTCGTCTGTGGAGGAAGTCTCCAAACATATGAAGTCACAGTCTAACACATGAATTAAAATAGAAGATGAGAAGAGATTTAGAACCATGAGCAAGAGGAGACATGAGCTCTAGTTCTACCCCTGAGAGAACTTACTTCTTTGGGGTGTACTTGATTTTTATTTATTTTACTGTACAACATACAAGTCTTAGCACAACAGTGATTTAGAAATACGAATGGTGCTCACTTTAAATATTGTGCACTTAACCTCTTTGTAACTTTGAGGAAATCTCTTCCCTACTATGGGCTTCCACTCTCTGAAATAAAGGGACTGGACTTTTCTGAGTAGAGTCCAGGAGTGGGGAATCTGCAGCCTTGAGGCCACACACGGCCTTCTAGGTCCTTGGGTACTGCCTTTTGACTGAGTCCAAGTTTTACAGAACAAGTCCTTTTATTAAGGGGATCTCTTTGTGAAGTTTGAATTCAGTTAAAGGGCCATATTTGAGGACCTAGAGGGTCACATGTGGCCTCGAGGCCTCAGGTTCCCCACCCTGGACTAGACAATCTCTTACATCTTCTAGCCAAGAAATTATACAATTTTCCAGTTCTAGGAAAGAAAATAATTTATTTATTGAAATGATATAGAAAAATTGAGATAATGAGAATAGTTGACATGTATAGGGTTTATACACATTAACTCAATTAATTCTCACAACAACCATTTTGGTAGATACTACTTCTTACCGTCACTCTTCAACCCTTCGCAATCTAGCTTTTGACCTAATCACCAAATTGAAATTGCTCTCTCCAAAGTCACCAAAGCTCTCTTCATGGCTCCATCTACTGCTCTTTTCTCAGTCCTAATCCTCCCTGCCCCGTCTGCTGCATCTGCCTGGTGACAATCCTCTTCTCCCAGATACTCTCTCTTCTTTGGGTTTTCTTCACGTTACTCTCTCCTGGTTTTCCTCCCACCTACATGATCACTCTCTTAACTTTGGATGGCCTTCAAGGTTCTGTCCCAGGCCTTCTTACCTCCTCCCTCTACACATTCTCTCTTGATGACCTCATAAGCTCTCATGGGTTCAACTATCACCTCTATACAGATGACTCTTAAATATATATTACATATAAATATAAAAACATGTCTGTACATGCACATACATCTCATACACAGACATATCAAATCCCAGCCTCTCCCCATGCTCCAACCCTACATTACCACTTGCCCTGGAGACATCTCAAATTCAACATGTCCCAAACTGAACTTATGTCTTTCCTTCCAAAGCCTCCACTACTCCAAACTTACCGATTTCTGTTGAAGGCATGGCCATCCTGCTAGCATCTCAGGTTTGTGACCTTGGCCTCATCCTTGACTCCTCACACTCCATCACCCCATTCGTCCCATCAGTCATAACATCTGTCATGGCTGACTCTTTCTTTCCATATGCCCTCACCATCTCTTGCCTACATCATTACAATCTGCTGCTAAGTGATTGCCCTGCCTCTTGTCTCCCCACTCCCGTCCATCCTCCACTCAGCTGCCATTTTGGCAGCTTATCCTTAAATGCAAACTTGACCATGTGACTCCTCTACTCAAACAACTCTAAAGGCTCCCCATTGTTTCTAGGATAAACAGAAACTCCTCTATTTATCTTTGGAAGCCATAAATATTTTGGCTCCAATGCATCTTTTTAGTCTTATTATACATCACTCATCCTCTCCCACTCTGTGATCCAGCCAAAGTAACCATCTCTCTGTTCCTCACTTAGGACACGCCCTCTCAGTCTTCTACTTCTGTGTCTTTTCACTGGCCAGCCCCATGCCTGGAATGCACTCCCTCCTTGCCTCTGCCTCATGGAGTCTTCCTCTTCTTTAAGACGTGTCTTAAGGACCATCTCCTGGGTGAAGCCTTTCCTGTGAAGCCTTTCCTGATCCCCCCACCTGCTAGTGCCTTCCCTCTCAAACAACCTTGTATTTAACTACTTTCTCTCTATGTACTATATTTACTTTATATTGATACTGTACATGTATACTCAGTGTCTCCCCATTAGAATGTAATCTCGTTATAAGCCAAGATGGTTTCATTCTTTGAACTTGTCATCTCATCACCCAGCACAGTGCCCGGTACTATATGGTGCTAAGAAAATGCTTGTTGATTGACTTACTGATTAAATTAACAGGTTTACCAAAGATGCTTTGTCCTCTTATGAATCTGCCTAAGGGGCCTTGCACTGCAAAGGTCCTGGGCTTGGTCCTCAGGCTGCTTTTGATTTAGGGTGGCAGGAGGGCAGTCACAGTCTCTCTTAACCCCTATAGGTACTGTCCCTGGATAGACCCTTACAAGCCAATAGGCATCTCTGTGGAATCAAATCAGGAACCAAATAAATTAAGATAAAACTTGGAGCACTTAGCAACGCAAAACATTACATATTTTTAGTGTTTGTAGGGGGGAAAAAAGGAATCTTTATTTTTTAACTTCTTACGTGAGGTTGCTTGTCTACCAAGTCCTAGCCATGGTATTCACACATGAACAGTGATGGATGACTCAGGTTTACTGTGTATAGAGGCATATGTATGCATATACACACAGGTCTACATATAATGTATGCACATACATACTGTGTATAATATATATAAATATACACATGCATGCATGTGTGTGTGTGTAGACACAGAGCCCGTATTCCTACAGTATTGATCATTTCCACCCTGAAGAAGAAAATTTATCATGGTTTATCAACAACCATGTAATTGTAAAATAGAAATGCACTCAAGCATCTGCTATAACACTGAGGAATTCATGAGTCAAGTCAAGAAGCATTTATTGAGCTCCTACTATGTGCAAGAAGCATTTATTGAGCTCCTACTATGTGCCAAGCACTGGAATTAAAAAAAAAAACCATGGTCCTTCCTCTCAAAGATCTTAAAGTCTAATGGGGGAGACAACATGTAAATAACGATAATCAGACAAAATACAGACAGGATAAACTGAGGGTAACTTCAGAGGGAAGACACTAGTATTAAGGGGAACTGGGAAGAGGTACTGGAGAAGGTGGGACTTTAGCTGAGACTTGAAGGAGTCCAAAGGATCCAGGAGGCAGAGATGAGGAAAGAGAGCATTCCAGGTATGGGAGACAGACACTAACAATGGTTGGAGTTGAGAGACAGACTGTCTATTGCAAGGAACAGCAAGGAGCAGGCCAGTGGATTACAGAGAGGTAGAGAGAGGGAGAGGGGGGGAAAGAGAGAGAGAGAGAGAGAGAGAGAGAGAGAGAGAGAGAGAGAGAGAGAGAGAGAGAGAGAGTGAGTATATGTGTGTGTGTGTGTGTGTGTGTGTGTGTGTGTGTATGTGGAGAGGGAGGCAGAGTGAGGTGTAGGCAGGCTGGAAAGGTAGCAAGGGGCCACACTATAAAGGGCTTTAAAAGCCAAACAGAGGAGTTGCTATTTGATTGGAGATAAAAAGGAGCCCCCGGAATTTACAGAAGAAGGGGTAGGGGTAGCAGGCTTCCACTTTAGGAAGATCAATTTAAGAGTGAGTGAGAATATTCTTAAATCCTCTCTAAAGGACAGGGTTTGATTGGTTGGTTTGGGGCAAGTGAGGCCCAAAGAACCTCCTAACAGAATCACTTCACCAGAAGGCTCAGAGGTTTGTGGCCGTGGCAATCAGCTCCTCTACCGGTCTGGGCAGGATTATCATTCTAGGTGCCAGTGGACTTGAAGTTGGGAAGACCTGGGTTCAAATACCACTCCATGTACTTTATTATCCGTGTGATTTTAGGAAAGTTACTTAGCCTCTCTGTGCCTCAGTTTCCTCAACTGTAAATGGAGATAATAATAGCACCTGCTTCACAGCTTGTTGTGGGGATCAAATGGGATAACATATGGGAAATGCTTTGCAGACGTTAAAGCACAATATAAATGACTACTCTCCAGGGCTCTAGCTTCTCCTGGGCCTCCCTGCTAAGGCTTCTCTCCTCATTTCCTCACCAGATAGTAGGCAGCAGCAGGAGACAGAAACAGAATTCTAGGCAGTCTGTTTTGTTGCCCTCTGACACTCCTTTGAGGCAGGAAACTGGAATTTGATGCATTAAATGAAATTTCAAGAGTATCTATGGATTTCCTTCCTCCATGGTACCTCTCTTTATCATTACTGCATCTAAATAACAGCTGGATGTAGCCTTTGAGGCACATAATTCATAGGATCATAGAATCTCCTAGTTAGAAACAACTTCAGAGTCCAGTCAGTGTCTAAATAAGATTCCCCTCTGTACTTTGATATATCTGCGATGTCATTGATGTGGGTCCTCTCTCCAATGGCACAGAACATAACCCATTCATACACTCTTCATTGTGTGACCCTCGATTACGTCCTCACATAAGTCTCCTGTAGGTTCTTGCCCTACCACGTCAGGAGCTTTTCTCTAGGTCTCTTGACATTAGGTGTGTGCTGATGAGACACGGAGGTTTTTCATCAGTTAGATCTCATTCTTTTTTCTGCTCGTGTAGCTCTCTGATGTCATTCTTTATGCCACTTCTCCTGTGTGATTCCTCAATGATAATGTGTTGCAGCCTACTCACACCCGCCATGAATTGCTCCACTGCCCTTCAGATGACTCATAACTTTAATTTTTCAGAGACTGTGCTATTCTATGACTCACTGCCATATAATTTCACTAAAAGAATAATAATAGTAAAAATCTGGGCCCTTCTTTCATCTGGAAGCTTGGGGATATTAAAATCACTGCACAATTCCCTAGAGACAATCCAGCTGCTCTCCTCCTTCTGTTTCATTCTGGAGCCACTTCACTGTTCATCCACAAGGTCTGTCAAGATATAGTCATACAGATAAACCAGCTCTACAGGCTGTCTATCCAACTGTGTACCATAATAATTTAGACAATGGGCTTTCTTCATCTGCTTAGGTTTTTTTTTTTAATGTGGATGGTTAAGCTGAACTCTTTTGGATGATTTTGAATCTTTGTTCAATATTCTGGTTCTAGATTCAATAAGCAAAATGTCATTTGCAAACATGAGCATGTGGAAGACCTTACCATCTACAAGGAGTCCTCTTCCATTTTGTTCTGAACTGGATATCCTCTATGACAGTAGCAAACACCTTTGGCAAGCATATAGCTCTCTGTTTTATGTCTTGTTTTATGTCAGTAGTCAGGGAGTTGGGAAAGAGGTATCTCTATTCTTTAATTTTTCAAAGAATCTGGGATGATTTTGCATGTGCACTGGAGGGACCATTCTGGAGGAGGGCCTCTAAGGCAGCAGTTTATTTCACCAAATCAAATGTTTCATAGTCAACAAACAATGTGCACAGTGGGATCTTATATTCCGTACAACTTCCAGTCAGTTGTAATTGACTAAATTTATTTTCTACAAATTATATTCTCTACATATTATATTTCCTATAAATTGTGATTGTAAAGATGTGGTCTGTTGTAGAATATAATTTGTCCAAGTTTCCTCTTCCTTCCTTCTATCTTCACAATAATGCCCTTTCTCTGTGTGTACAGCAGACTTTGCTCATCAAGATTTTTATAGAGATGGAAAGCAGGCCTATGGGGCAGGCCTTACTGATAGTCATCTCACTTCCCCTTTTGCTGTTTGTATTTTGCCCATAGTTGGGGAACGGAACAGCTAGGAAGCTGGTGTCACTGAATCACAGAGAATATGGAGGGAGGGGGTACGTAACATGTGAGAAGACTTGAAGAGTAGGAATGGGCCAATTCATGGAAGGCTTTAAAAGCCAAACAGGATTTTTTTATTTCGTCCTGGAAGCAACAGGGAGCCATTGGAGTTGTGTGAACTGGAGGTGGGGGGAGGTGACATGGTCAAACTTGCACTTTAAGATCAATTTGACAACTGAGTGGAAGCTGACCTGGAGTGGGGATAGCCTTGAGGCAGGGAGACAAACGAGCAGACTTGATAACTGAAAGTCTTGATAATTGATTCTTTAAATCCCCCACTATTTTGTCAGTTCTCACACAGGCCTCTTTTGTGTACATTTGGTCTAATCTAACTGTGATTCTCGTCTTCCTTTAGTAACATTTCTGCTTTTGAAGGGTTATGTTATATAACTGTGGTGTTAGAATCCAAATTTGGAGTTCCACTGTCATTAATGGAGAAAAGAGTTCATTATAGAAATCTTTACAGATTACTTATATTTTTCATCTGTTTGTTGAACCTGCATTTTTATCCTTAAATGTTCTTGTGATTATCTGGCTTAAATGGACATCTTATAAAACTTTCCACACATTTATTTTTTTCTCCATTGCTAGTAGCTATTTTATGAGGTTGTACTACTTATCCACCTACTCTATGTATTGCTCTTAGAAGTGTCAAATTTGCTACCTGTTGGACTCCCTAATCCATCCCCAACCAGATTAAAATGTAACTGGGAAATGTTTAACAAAATAAGTAAAAATAAAATGCAACACAGATAATGTTAATTTGTGGTTTTCTAAGTCAACAGCTGGTAGAGATCCATTCCCATTTGAGTTTGACACCATTGCATTCTTCAATTGTCCCCTCCATAACATTTTACAAATGAATTTATTTTGTATTTTAAACCAGGTTGCCCTTGGTTCCATATCTCTCTGCTTGGCAAGAAGATCAAGTGTTTGCCAGCTGGGGCGAGTTTAGTTGTGGCAACCGATTTATAACCGGTAAATTTGTTTAAGTAAAAGTGACAGTGTATGTTAATATCTGTTGTTTTATCCATTTCCCATTTGCTTTTCCATCAACTGTTTTAAAAAATAGGCCAGGTTAGAGATAATTCAATTATGTACCATATCTTTTCATTTCTATTCTTTCATCTAATTAATTTTTGTTCATTCAGGCTAGTAATCTATACATAGACAGTTGGTTCATAAATGTTTCCTACATCAGTGGGCAGTTCTTTTCTGTAAATCATTACGTCTTGCTCACTATGTAAGTTTTGATGCACCCTAAGATTGCATCAGCTTTTCTGGCTGCCATAGCATAACTGATTCACATGGATCTTACGATCTACAAAAACTCGAATTTTTTTTTCAGATGATCTATCTTATACTTGTAAAGTTGATTATTTGAACCCAAATGTAAGCCTATATTTATCCCTCTTAAATGTCATCTCACCAAATCCTTATCTATATATTAATCCCCAGAAATCTTCTGAAAAAATTTAGATGGATTAATAAGGATTTGGATTATTCCCAGTTTGGGAATTATGATTCGAGTTATTTGTATCAATTTCCTTACCTGTGGTGGAAGTAATGGCAGTCTAATTAAAGATAGGAGCATTCCCAGGTGTTGCTGTCTGTTCTGAAAATCATGCTTCACCCATATCATTAAAGCATGGAATATAGCTTCTTCATCTGGCACATTAATGTCATCACTAGACAAGAGTTTTGCAATTTCATTAGCTGGAAGTAGGAGAAATTCCTGGTTCTTTGTCACCTCTACAAAGTGTTCCTAAAAAAGGAAGTTACTTTAGTGAGACTAAACACATTTTAACTCCACATCAAAATAGTACATCTCAAAACATTTCCTAGGATTAAGCCCCTGAGGTTGATATACCCAATCCAATTTGAGAAGCAGGTAAATGAAGGCAAAGGAAAATGATGAAAACCGCTACTGAGACACACAGATTTTCCAGATTGCAGGGGCCGTCATGCCCCTCACCACTGCGACATGGAAGGGATAACTATATTTGATTCTAGAAGCAATAGGGAACCACTAGAGTTTACTGAGTAGGGGGTGACATGGTTAGACCTACACTTTAGGAAAACCACTTTGGTGGTTGAATGGAGAATGGAATGGAGTGGAGAGAGACTTGAGGCAGGGAGATTCACCAGCAAAATACTGTAGTAGTCCAGGCATGAGGCTGAATATTTCTGTGACCAGAAACAAAACTATTGCTTTGGAGCCATGACCTATGAATGAGCCTCTGGGTAGGCACAGGTAGGCTGGTCCTTGAATGACACATTACATTCTACCTCAGTCCCTGGGTCTATCCTCCAAAACCTTTCCAGTTAGGTGGAACCTATTAGAGTTTGTGATCTATTGGTGCAGATTACAAAAGTCCAGGGGCATGATGAAGATTTGCATGAAGGTCCTATAGCTTATGTACTACAGTATCAGGCACACAACCTTCAGCTTGTATGTAAAGAATATGTAATCCAGAATTGGGGGATGAGGGAGGAGTCCTACATATGTTCCTCTATTACTCAGTCATTAAATATTCAAGACTAGGGTCCTAAGGATTCAAGAAATATGAACCCTAGGCATGTAGAAGTATGACTAGGCACAATGGAACATGAGAGGATTGGGTGCTACTACTATTAGGCCTGTACTCTCTATATCTCACACTACAGTCTTTGGATTAGTAAAAAGATGCTCTCTGAACGTTTTCTGTATAGACCTTGCAAAAAGGGGCTAATTTTCTTTCATTATTACATTACTCATTTCCTTATTACATTACTCATTAAGGAAAATGAGGTAATAAGGAAAAGAGACGCAAAAGCACTTTAAAACATTAAAATCTCTATGTAAGTGGAATTATTAATATTATTTTAATTTAATTTTAAAGTTGTATTGATAACTTTTGCTTGTATATAGCATTATTTTGAGTTATACTCCCTGCCTCCCTCCTCAATAACTACCTTATCCATTGAGCCTTCCTCAGTAACCCCTTGTGACAAAGAAAAACACTTCAGCAAAACCAACCAACACAACGACCATGCCTGACAGCATATGCAACATTCTGTGCCCATAGTCCTCCACTTCTCCAAGAAAATGATGGAGGTACATTTCTCGAAGGTATTATTATTATTATTATTATTATTGTTATTATTGTTATTATTATTATTATTATTATTATTAAAGTGATTTGTAATGTTAATTGGCTGCCAGGAGCTTGAGCAGTGGAAGAGGGAGTCATATTAACTGAATAAATGAAGTTTGGATGCTTGTATATTAGCCTAAATAAAAATAATTTATTTGGGTCAGACTGCCCACGTACAGTACTTCTAAATAAGAAATTGCAGAGGATCTTTCAATTAAGTTTAAAGACTATGATATAAACCACCTCCACCCTGGGGTACAATTTTGTTTGTCATTTTGGGAGAAACCCCTTGCGTGTTCCATCTTAAATATTTTCTTTGTCACTGTTGTGGTTTCTACTCAATTTTGTCTATCCAGCACATCGATTTCATCAAACTCATTCAATGATTAGAGTACGCTTTGTGAAATTCTCTGTCAATAACTCTAGGATTGTAATTGAATACATAAAAGAATTGTGAATTCTTTTTCGACACCAAACAATGCATCACAAACATTTCATTACAGCATGTCTCTTGGTTATTTCGACAGTGTGCACAATATGGACAAAAATAACTGGGGCGGGGTGGGATTAAAGAGGACACCAGCATGGCATTTTAATGCACATCCTGCTTTAACACTGTTTCAGTCACATAGTAGGAAAAGGAAGACAAATCCATTTGGAGCTACAGAAATAAACTCAAGCTGTTTATCAGAAAATGTTTTGTCTGCTGGAGTCAGATACCAGGCAGGAAACCGTTAATACTCGAGCTTTAAGAACTGAAGTAATCTCTCAGGAAGTTCTCATGTTTGGCTTTTGTGGTGGGGTTCATCGTTGAACTAGCTAACTGCTCTTTCTTTAGATTATAAGGAATCAGCATTTAGGGCAGAGTGATAAAAATAGCCTCTTTAAATGACACATTTTCAAATTTGAGCCTGTCACAAGGCAATTCTACTAGTAGTGTCATTGTCTCCTAAAGTGCCTTGGACAGTTCATATCTGCGACAGTCTCCATGAAAAAGACGGTCTCTTTAACCCACTGCAGAGAATTTCTGTCTTGTGCAGAACTGTCACTGTTAAGTACAGTCCACAGCCCTAGAGAAACACTCCCATTTGGTTAAGTGAATGAAAACAGAGATGGGGGCTGAAATAGCTTTAAATCTTTAACACCTCTCCCAATATCAACATTGGCAGAATTGCTTTGCTTATCATATCTAAAATCTTTTGGGTTCTCTTTCATGTGTATTACTTCACCTTTAGCTCTGGTAGTATCTTTCACATTGCGTTAATCTGAAGAAAAAGAAAGAATAAATACTACTGGAGTTTTTCTTATCCTGAAATATTGATCTCTTAATTTGGTTTCAGAGCAAGACCTCCTTTGTTGATGTCATTCCTAGCAAGGGACAACAGTGAGTTATTTCTCTTCACTCATTTAGGGAAAGATTGGTATTTGTGGTAATGTTGCATTTAATTTCCCTTATTTAGGTTCTCTCTCTGCCCCCACCATATACTCTATATTTTGTCTTACTTTCTATAATTTGACTGCAGGGCGAAATTTTGTGGAAAATGAAAATCCTTGGGAACCATTTCATACAAATGTGTGATTGACCATTACTATTTCTAATGGGATCAAGATGACTTTGGAATTATAGTAATTTAAAGGACTGACTTATCAGCTCTTTGTAGCTACCCAGATATTTCTTTTTTATTTTATATTATTATAAAACATACAGCAAATATACTTTCAGAAATCCAAGTTGAGTAATTCTGAACCCATCTCAGTTGGTACCAATCCAGTCATACTGTTATAGTTCCTTACTTCAAAAAAGAATGCAAAAAAGAAAGGAAAATAACTGTGTCACTTTCAGGAGCTATCTCCAAATTTAAAATTGGAAATGTTACAAAACATTGTTCAAATCAGGGCCTACAAAAAGAATTTCTCCGTATATATACACAGTTCAAATCCTAATGACCTCAGGCAGGTCACTTCATCTCTCTGTGCCTGTTTCATCCTCTGCAAAATGGAGGCTACTGGACAAGATGATACATAACGCCCCTTTCAGCCCTAGGTCTCGGATGCTAGAAAAACGATGCTTTCACCAAGAGAGTCACTAAATAGTGCATACCCTTGGACTCAGTGTTACCATGACTAGGCCTATATGCCAAAGTGATCAAAGAAAGAAGAAAAGGACCCACAAATATAGAAGTATTTATAACAGCTTTTCTGGTGTTATAAAAGAACTGGGCTGAACAAATTAGCTATTTGAATGTCATGGATGGCCACTGTACTGTAAAAAATGATAAAAGGGATGGTTTCAGAGAAACCTAGGAAACATGAACTGATGCAGTATGAAGGAAGCGGGACCAGGAGAACAATTTATACAACAACAACAATGTTGTAAAGATGAACAATTTAGAAAGACTTGAGAACTCTGATCAAACTCAATGGCCAACCACAATTCCAAAGGATCAATGATGTAGTATCCTACCCACTTCCTGGGAGACAAGTCATAGATTCAGGATACAGAATTGAAATATACATTTTTGGATTTGGCCAGTGTGGGAATTTGCTTTGCTTTAACAAACATCCATAGATTCTTGTAATAATATTTGTTATAAGAGCTTTGGGCTTTTCCCCCAATGGTGGGGGGAGAAAGAAGGGATAAAAAACAGGTTTTTGTTTATTGAAAAAAATTTAAAAAAGAAACACATGTCTTTGCAAGGTTCAGTTTGAGGCTATGCTGGGACTTTTGTTTTTGCAAGCTGTAGGTACAAAATTTAGGTGTAGGTAGTTGGTGTGATTAAAAAACCCACAAAGCAGATAGCGAGTTGTACAGCCTGCTAAAATCATGGCAGCGGAAATGAAGAAGACTATCGCGCTTACCATCGTGTAGTCATGTGCCACCTTCAGGAGATACATACATCCCTGTGCATCGCCAAATGAGCGGATCCCTAAGCAGTTGGAGGGATGGAGCTGCTTGATGAGGAAATTGCAGCACACTTCAATGACTTGAGAAAGCTGGAGGAGACAGGCTGCAGACAGCAGATTTTCTATGGTGTCTTCCTTTAATTCTAAGACACCTAAGATACATATAAATATATATATAATATATGATATATATATAATATATACATACATATATAAATATATATTATATATATATATACACATACATATATAAACATAAAAATACACACACACACACACACACACACACACACACAAAGTGAGGATTGGTTATAAGGGATATTTAGCCCAGAGCAGAAAATCCCCAGGGGCAGGCTAGCTGTCTTCAAGTTTCTGAAGGGCTATTCATGGGAAGTGGAATTATTAGATTTGGCCCTAGAAGGGAGAACCAGGAGAAATGGGGATAAATTTCAAAAAAGCAGATTTAGGTTCAAGGTAAGACAAAACTTCCTGACAGAGGGGGTGGCACAGTGGCAATAATTTGGAGTCAGAGGGCCTGGATTCAAAACTCCTCTTTGCCATTTATCACCTGTGTGACTCTGGACAAGTGACTAGATCTCTTGGCCTTGCTTTCTACATCAATGAAATGGGAGGGTGTGGACTCGATGGACACGAAGGTCCTTCTGGTTCTAGATCTATAATTCTAGAACTATCCTAAAGCGGAACGGTGCATTCCTTTGTCACTGGCAGTCTTCAAGCAGAAGTTGAATGATTGGTGGGTGTGTTGTGATGAGGGGATGGTCTGGACTACAGGGCTGCTGAGGCCCCTTTCAACTCTGAAATTTCAGGACCCTGACCTTCTGAATAGTGGGAGAAGTTACATGAGTAATCATTGTTGGTTGGAAGTAAATAGAGATTTAATAGCCAGAGGAAGAAAAGGAATAAATATCTAGCACAGGACCCAACCCACTGCTTTCAGGCAAGACTGTGTCCAGATAATTATAGAAAGGCAGCTCCCTAGAGTCTTATACAAGATATAAAATGTCTATCGGTTTTCTGTCATGCTACGTATTATCTGTCTCTTGCCTCTTTATGCAATCTGCATGTTAAATATCTGTAATTCAAGGATCAGGAACTACTGATATTCTTCACAGTACTCGGATATGTTATGGTTGTTTAGTTGTTCAGTCATGTCCAACTCTTCGTGACCCCGGGGACCATAACACACCAATGCTGTCCACAGGGTTTTCTTGGCAAAGATACTGGAGCTGTTTGTGATTCCTTCTCCAGTAGATTAAGGCAAACGGAGGTTAAGTGACTTGCTCAGGGTCACACATTAAGCATCTGATGCTGGATTTGAACTGAGGTTTTCCTGACTCCAGGCCCAGCACTCTATCCACTGAACCATTTTGCTGCCTCTATTTGGATGTGTACTCTCATAATAATGATTAGAAGCCGCATGATACAGCAGAAAGTGTCCTGGACTTGGGGTCATAAAACCTGAATTCAAATTTTGCTCTGCCTGTTCCACCCTGGACAAGCCATTTATTCTCTCTAGACCTTAGTACCTTCCCCTGTTGGCCAAGATGGCTTCCAATGCTCCTCCTAGCTCTAATATGCTGTAATCCTATAAAATGGGGAAGTAGAAGCCACACATAAACAGGTATGTCATTACCAATTCTTCAAGTGTCTGGGACTCCGTGAACTAGTGCCAAAAGATGATGTGATCAGATATGTGAGGGAAAGGACAAAGCTTTGATCTTTGCCTTTAACTTTGGGAACATGGTGAAGTTGTGGTTACCTGTGTAAGCATAGTGCACCAAAGCTTTCAGCGCATCTGGGTCTATTCCCTCCATCTTGATCTCCTCTTGTTTGGCTTCCAGCACATCATTAGTAAACATTGCAGCAAAATAGTCTGATGCAGCACTCAGTACCAGCCTTGAAATAGGAATATTTCAGAAGAATTTCAATTAATCTATCATATTATTAGAAAGCACAAAATTTAACTTTAGAACATAGATAAAGCTGCCTTCCACATGATACTTTGGGGGCTGTGAAAGTGCTCAGTGAACATCAAAAGGGAAATTAAGAATGTGGGCTTGAATAGCTTTGAAGACCTCTCTGAATCTTGTTTTTTGTCCAATCAATCAACATGTCTGCTTGTATTTTGTACCCATTATATGTCAGGCCCTTTGCTTAGGCACTGGGGCTACAAGCACAAACAATGAAACTGTCTCTACTTGCAAGCCCTTTTTTAAAAAAAATGGGCCTTCTTGTTCAGGATCTTTTCAAAGCTATAATCAATTCCATATCCCTTTTTCCAGGGCTCCAGTTTGTTTGATATTCTAATTATTACTGCAGCAAACCAGAATAACAGTAAAGTATATATTCTTTCCTTATTCTTGAGAATTCTTGCAATCTCCCCTCCCAACTTCCAGTTTCCTCCCCACACTGCAATTGTTCCGCTAAAGTAGAGCACCAAACCTGTGGGCTGGGATTGTGTGATGTCCAGCAACGAGGAGCACATCACAGAGCTGTTTCTGCTGGAGGTAGTTCTCCATTTTGCGGATGGTCTGCTCTGCATGATTGGTGGACTGGAAGAACTCCTCAGATCTAGCACTATTCATTCCCAAGGCTGGACAGTTATTCACAGGTAAACTGAAAAGAAGAACAGGAAAAGGAAAGGGAATGGCTGCTTCCTTTTGCAAACAAAGATGTCTTTTTCCCCCAGTAAGATTTCAAACACCCAAGAAGAATTTAATCCCAGCAACTACCAAAAAATAACCTTTCAATTTGTTCTCAAAGCTTAGTATTTTTTCCCTGATCAATGTAGCAACTTCACACGAAGTGAAGTAGTTACAGTAACATTATGTTTGGAAGGGAACCAAGAAGAGATAGCCCTTGATTCAAGTACGTGGCTAATGGAAAGTAGAAAACAAACTTCAAAAAGTGACTCTTTTGGGGCAGCTAGGTGGTACAGAGCACCAGCCCTGAAGTCAGGAGGACCTGAGTTCAAATGTGACCTCAGGTCAAACACTTGACACTTACCAGCTGTGTGACCCTGGGCAAGTCACTTAACCCCAACTGCCTCAAAACAAAAACAAAACAACAATAACAACAAAAGTGACTCTTTGGGTAGACTGGGAGAAGGGGTATTCAGAATAGCACACCATCTTGGGGTGAGGGGAGGGACGAAATGGGGAGAAAATTTGGAACTCAAAATCTTGTGGAAGTGAATGTTGAAAACTAAAAATAAATAAATTAATGTAAAAAGTGACTCTTTAAATCTTGTGATTATTATGAATGTGTTCTCCCAAATCTCCAAATATTTGGTGGAGCTGTGAATTGGTCAAGTCATTCTAGAAACCACTTTGGAACAATGCCCCCAGAGTCCCTAAATTGCACATACTCTTTGACCCAGTGAGACCCCAATGAGATCCAAGGCAGAGAAAAAGGTCCGAAATGGACAAAAATATTCATAGCAGCTCTTTTTTTTTTTAGTAGCTTCAAATTGGAAACTAAGGTACCTACCTATTGGGGAATGGTTTAACAAGTTATGGCATGTGAACAGAACAGAATATGTATTCTGTCATATGAAATAATAAAACGGATAGTTTCAGAAGAAACTGATGCAGAATAATGCAAATAGAACTAAGACATCAATTTATATGCTAACAATAACTTTGAAAGCCTTTAGAGCTCTTTTCACTGCAATGATGAGCCATGAGTCCAGAGGATAAAGCATGCCACCCACTGCCTACTAGAGCAAGATGATGGGCTTAAACTGCAGAATGAGATGTATGTTTTTGGACAAGGACAACATAGAAATCTGTTTTGCTGAATTATGCATATATTGTGAGGGTTTTATTCTTTAAAAGTTGCTCAACAGTGAGAGGGAGAGAGAATAAATGCTTGTAAAAATAAATAAAATAATTTTTTAAAAAGAAAGTTAAGCCTCCCTCTGTGTACTAGAAGTACTAACTTGGCTTAATTCAGTGAGAGAATGAAGGCATGGGCCAAACCTTTTATTTATTTCCTCTGCTTTGGGACCTTGTGTCATCATTTGGGAACTAAATGAAACCTTGTCAGTGGCTCTTCTTACTTGCCTTCCACCACTCTTTGGGACAGGCCTTTTTTTTTAAACTGGTTTACTTGAAGGCTCCCCTGGCACAATAAATAGTCTACAAAGCAATGAATTTTTTTGTATCCTCACTCTGTGCATGGATTGGGCTTCTCCTCTTTTCTTTACTCCAGTGTGGTCCAATCTCTACAAATTAACTCAAGTGCTCACTGGGTTCCTAGTATGCAAGATGGTGGTCTTTAAAGAGAAAGAGTTCTGTAAATTCTTAATGCAGTGTAAAGAGTGCCAGAATTCTAGTCACAGGGTTTGGTTGCAAATTTTAGCTCTGCCAGTTACTAGCTGTGTGACCTTGGGCAAGTCACAACCTGTGTCTGCCTCAGTCTCCTCATCTGTAAAATGGGGATAATAATAGCACCTACCTCCCAGAGTTGTTGTGAGGATTGAATGAGATAATACTTGTAAAGCACTTTGCAAACCTGAGGGCACTCTTGAAATGCTGGCTATTATTAAAAGGTCAAGATGACCTAGGTAACACAAGGTGGTGGTTTTGTTGGTTTGTCTGTTGTCTTTGCTACATCGGAGGAAAGCAGAAGAGCAAAGAAGGGAGAGGAGTACTGCTAGGGATGGAAGGGTTAATGATAATGGCTGGCAATGACAAGGTCGAGCTGCCCAACTCATTCTGCTTGTTTTCTATGCCAAGGTAAAGGACAGACCAAAAATGGCCAAATGGGAGCTGAAAGACAAGAGAAGTAAAGAGACAGGGAGAGAGCACGCAGCTGCCCTTCACACATTCAAGTCACTGGACCCTGATGAACTAGCACATTGTGTAAATTTTCTATGGGAGACTTCCAAAAAAGGCATCGACAAGAATCACATAGGATGAGAAGGCGTGAATGGGTCATGATCTGCACTGGGGAGGGAGCACCTACACCAACGACAATCACACGTCCTTTGAGATACAGAAACGTAGCAGGCTGACCTACGGAAAACAAACATTTGACTGCCATAAAGAAAGCAAGCCTGGGCACTCAAAAATTATATGGAAGTTACACAGGTGAGAAAGTACTCAAAGCACAACTAATATAGTCATCGAAATATATGAAAATAGATAAACAAAGAACTCATTGGAGTAGCATCTCTCAAACTGTGACTGCCTCAATTCATTTCATAGCCCAAGCTTTATGTCTTCTAAGACATTTCTTATAATCATTTCTATAAAGATGTTTGCTTCTTAGAATTTTGTAACTGCAAAGACCATCCTTCCTCTAGGAGATGTAAATGAATTGTTACTGCTTGCCACAGAAAGACACACACATGCACACATTTATATATAGCTATATTAATAATTAAGATCTTCCTCCCCTTGTTAGGATCTCTGTGTATTACAAGTTTATTCCCTCTCCTCTAGAGAAGTTGAGTTAGCATTCTTATGTAGAATCCCCAGGGAAGAAGTTATAAGCACATCCATTAGAGATCCTTTGATTCTCACTTGAGAAAACAACTCACAGCCATCTTCTAGGCATTCTTCCTGAACTCTGTGAGAAGATTCGTGTCCACATTAATTGGCAAATATACTGCATACCTATGTAGTTAATAATTGTTTCTTTTGCTTTCATCCCTCAAACCATCTGACAAGGTCTCCCCCTTGCTTTACAACTTAATAGAGAAGTGTCCAACTAGACCCAAATGACCCCATAGCACTTGGGACCATAGATAAAACCTTCCCTATCCTTCTTCTTGGACAACTTGGAATAAAAGGGAAACACTTCCATCCCACATTCTCATCCCCATCAACTAATTACTGTGCTCAAAGATCCCAAAGCATAGATCTGGAAGTAGAGATAACAGGTAACATCTCCCCCCCCATCCATCACTGTTCTGGAACATCCTCAGAAGAGGAAGCACCCCTAGCCCATGGCAGAGGAAGCTTGGAAAGTGAGTTTTGTTGTAGTCACACCACCAACTCAGTCTGCAAGCAGATTCAGAGCATTCTACTCCTCTCTCAAGCTGGCAGAGAAGGAAAATCCTTTTATAATTCTCCCTGGAGAGTTTATATGGATGTTTTCCTTTTCCCCCTCTGTAGTGTAGATGCTGATTTGCCACATAATCAGTCATTTCAAGAGGCTTTTGCTGCTAAATGTAGACACTCACAAAGAGAACCCTCAGATGACCTAATTTCCTCACACAATAGGTCTAGGCTACAAAGGCATCTTCATGCTCATGTAGTTCAACCAAGTACGTAATCTCAGCTACAACATTCCAGACAAGTGATCTTCCAGCCAGTAAGGACTTGAACAATCCCAATAATGGGGAACTCACTAAGTTCATAAGGCAGCCCATTCCATTTTCAGAAAAGTTGTGGAAAAGTTGATCCTCACATGGCGACAAAATTTTTCTCCCTGTAACATCCATTTAGATCATTTGAGGACTGGCTATCATTCCCCTTCCTGCTCCCCCTCGTCTTTTCTTCTTTAAGGTAAGTCATACAGAGATCCCTCAACTGTCCTTAAACAAGTTTTAAGTCTCCTTATCATAGGATCCCTCCAGTTGTTTGTCAGTGACCCTGCTAAGACCCCAAACTGGTGTTCTACCAAGTATAGGGAGGACAACTGAACGTTGTGGAGTAGAGCAGAACTGTCACTACCTTTGTGTTGGGCTCTAGACTTCTATTAACGTAACTGATGGAGCAAACGTTTGAAAGCTGAAGTTCACACTAGCTATTTTTGCTGCCACAGTGTCCTGTTGATCTAGATGGAGCTTGTAGCACTTTTTTCAGATGGCCTGCCAGATCTATCCCATCCTGCACTGGTGTGGTTGATTTTTTGAACCTAAGTGCAGGACTTTATATTTATCCCATAAATTCTATCTTGTGAGACTGAACCTAGTGTTCGAGTCTGTGAAGATCTCCTGGGAGCCTAATTCTGTTATCTAATAGCAGTGACTGTCCCTCCTGAATTACTTTGCTACTCTGTCTGTTCTAAACTATTCTTTAGGCCACAGAAAGTCAGTCTATTGATATCTAATACCTGCTTTCAGTAAACCTGCAGGTTTTGAAACTCCTAGACTGGCTGTTAAATTTCTTCGACTGAAGACTCTTCATTGTCAGCTGTGATCTGGTGACCACCCTAGGCTGTAGTGGTCTCTCCTTACCCAGATGCCCTATGACATTTGGCAAGGAATCACATATAACATCTCAGCTGTCTTGAACTGGTCTTTAAACTTTTTGCTATTGTCTGACTTCTGTTTTTAATTTAAAATATTTATTGACTTCTCATTTATACGTTGCCTTCCTTTCCAAATTTATTCCATTCTCTCTATCCTGCAAGTCACACTTGTAACAAAATAATTAAGAGGAAAAAAAGACTTCATTAAAACTAGCCAAATATTAATCAGATGTGACAATATGCAATGTTCTACACTCATTGCCTCTTGCCTCTTCAAAGAATGAAGAAAGGTACATTTTCTCAGCTTTTTTTGGAGGGACAAGTATGGTCATTAGAAGTATATACCGTGCAGGTTCTTTTTGTTGTTGTCATACTTAGTTATATTTCTGTAATTATTCTGTATTTTGTCTTCCTGATTCTCCTTACTTCATTCCACCT